TACCAAGCTGATCTACCTTTTTAGAACAACACCCAAAACCTACCCTATACCCGTCCCTTTGGGAGCAATCGTGATAAAAACAGAAAATGACTTCAGTCAATGGTTACAACGGGAGTGGTCAATGACTTAAAAAAACGAACAGCGCTTTAGCAATTCATGAAAACTTCCCGAACAGTCAGGATACTATTTAACGAGGATCAGAACCAGGGGGGAAAAAATGGGGTGCGGGAGTTTTTATTCAACCCCAGGCAACCCCCGCCCCCAAAAAGGGGATACCCCGGAAAATTTCGTTCCAACTACACAGAGGATTGTCATAGAGCAGGCTGCCGAAATGTTAAAAACCCCTTCTGCTGCCACCAAAAGGGTTTATATTCAAGGCGCTTTCTCTTCAAGCCCTAAAGAGTGGCAAATCCCTCATTGAATCAAAATTTGGAAAGGGTGGCTCCCCAAAAGTGTACTGTACCCCCGGGGTTGCCACCCACTGTGGTAACCAAAAATAAACCCGCAGATAAACTTGCTAAAAAGGGGCAGATAATGTGGACCAAGAAGAGAATGCAGTAAACATACTATGAGAAGAAGAAAAAGGGCCATCCAGGCTATCATGAAGTGAACAGAGTCTGGCCAGAGATGACTAACCACTTCTTCGACCGGCATGGCAGGTCATTGTCCTACGGTCTCAGTACAGGACATAACAAACTTAAACCAGCATATGCACCGGCTTCGTCTAAGTAGTTCACCTTTTTGCCCTTGTGGGCTATGTGTGGCAGACTACAGAAACATGTCCTGCAAGACTGTCCCTTGTTCAGCCCATTAAGAAAGGAATACTGGCCCAGTGAGTCACCACTGTACACAAAGTTGTATGGGACTAAAAATGAACTCATTAAAACAGTCAAGTTTATCACAAGAACCTGTCTGTCAGTGTAAATCAGAAAGCGAACACAAGAAGAAGAAGAAATAAACAAATTATTCCCAAGCGTGTAATAAAAGTCGATGGTGTTATTTTAAGACAAGTACATAAATTTAAGTATCTGGGCACATGGATAACTTCAGATGGAAGATGCATAACTGAGATAAGAAACAGAATAGGACAGGCAAAAACTGCATTTTATAAAATGAAAAACATCTTGTGCAATATATCCTTGTCACTGAGAGTTAGAAAAAGAATTATTGCTTGCTACATACATCCAGTTTTAACATATGGCTGTAAATCCTGGACAATCGGCAGGCAGGCCAAACAATTTCTGGAGGCCTCAGAGATGTGGTTTTACAGAAGAATGCTTAGAATACCTTGGACAGCCAAAAAGAGCAACCAAGAGGTTTTGAAAGAGGCGGGAGCTCGAAGACACCTTATCACAGACATCAAAAGGAGACAGTCATCATTTTTTGGCCATGTTATGAGAAGAGGGAAAATAGAACATGTTGTGACCACTGGAATGATCTGTGGAAGGAGAGATAGAGGAAGACAACGAGAGAAGATGCTTGACAGTCTTGGTGCATGGATGGAGGTGTGTCGGCACACAAACTGATACAGGACATCGCAGATTATGGAGAGGCATGATCCTCCACGCCAGACGGCAAGGCATCTGATGATGTTGATGATGACCCCCAGATGACGTCACAGGACAGTCCAACATTTTAGAGTATGGTAAGACTAGATTTCCCAGCTTTCTGATGCTTTTAACGCCCTCAAAACATCTAGAACTTGCCCTTACCCCAACCCACTTACGTTCCACGAGAGAGTGCAGCCTAGGTCTCACGACTGCATGCAGCCTATCTACCACCCCCTGTAATGTTAGATTGTAATATATTAATATAGAACCTTTAAAAAAAAAAAAAACGTCCACTGCAGGAATCGAACCCTGGAACTCAAGAATCAGGAAAATGTTAAACACTTTCGCAAACCTCCTTCTCGTGTGGGCTAAGACCAAAGCCCAGAAGTGAACAAATCACCAGAACTTTCCACCTGTGTACGCTAAGAAGAAGAGGACATTTTACCTGTGGATTACTGGCAGGACAAGAACAAGGCGATGAATCCTCGGGCTGACTGACTAGCTCAAAATCTGCATTTACTTCTGGCTTTGTTTTGAGTCGTTTGGCATATTGCTGTAAGAAAATCAGGTCAGCAAAATTAGCTTAGAACATCATTAGTACCGGCAGCCGTGATGGGGCAATGACTGGCAGGCTTACCTGTCCAGACGGTGATCATATGTTTGGTCCTTGAGGCCATAGACACCGGAACCTCAGAGGATTAGTCCTCTTGCCCCCCCCCCCCAACCAATAATAATTTTAAGGGGCCTAAAAACCCTAAACATCATACGAAGAATGTAAATTAAATGATGTAAGAACAACATCGAAAAGACAGAAGTAATGTCAATAAGAAGAAAGAAGCAGGATTAAAACATAGCATTAGATTATACGTATATCTTCTTCTGCATTGCGTTCATCAGCTGTAAACTCTGGTGGAAAGCTCTGGTTGTTCATCCACTTCTGGACTGCAGTCCTGGTCCTGCGTGTGCATCCGTTTTACATATCTGACGCACATGTGTGCAGACTGTTGGTCCCTTGCCTCTCAGGCAGATGCACTCCGACTTCGGAGGAAGCTCCCAATTAGTCGACTTTTACGACGTGCTTTTGGGTAGGCAGTGGGTCTATTCTTGTTTTCCCTATAATAGGGCTCCGGAACCCACACAGGGAAAACGTATATTAAACAAGCATCTGAGTTTAAATATCTTTGAACAACATTCACTGAAGATGGTACATTGAAATAAGAAATTGGCATCCAAGCTGGCTAAGTATTGGGACAGCTAGCCACCTTCTTACAGCAAAAAAAACAATCCCAGTCAGCACAAAGAAACATCTCATACAAAGCATATTCATTCCCATCCTATGCTACCAGAGCCAGACATGGCCACTCACAACAAAACATAAAAGAAAATTAGTAACCATGGAAATGAGGTGTCTGAGAAAGACAGTATGACTGAGCAGAAGAGATAAAATCAGGAATGAGTTTATACCAGATCAAGTCGGCACAGAACCAATTCTAAATTACATTTAAGGACAGCAAATCAAATGGTTTGCCCAGTTGGAGAGAATGCCTTCTGACGCTATACCATACAAGGCAAAGAGGAGAGGGACGTAGAGCAAGAGTTAGACCAAGAACAAAATGGGAAGATAACATTAGAGAAACTGTACAGCACCACGATGTGTCTATGGTCGAAGCATCCAGAAGAGCACGAAGCAGGACCTTGTATCTCCCTCGACATCCGATGCGGTAAAAAAAAAAAAAAAGAGACGTAAATAATAATAAGAACAACATCCCTTTCCTCTTCATCCCCCTCCCAAAGTTCTAAGGCTTAGACCAATCCCCTCACTTCGCAACAGTGTGTAGAAAGTATCATTAAAACTGGTATTGTTTACACACCTATCATATTATTTCATCGCCGTGTGGGTTCCAGGGTCCCACTGTGGATAGGGAGGGGGAACAAAAATAGACACGATGACCAACGAAGCATGTCGTAAAAGTTGACTTATTGGGAGCTTCCTTCGAAGTCGGCGTGTATCTGCCTGAGAGGCAAGGAACCGATAGCCTACATAAAATTGAATCACGTCTGTAAAACGGATGTGCACGCAACAGTCAGGTTCTGAAACCGGTCTAGAGTTCAGAAGTGGACGAAAAACCGTAACTTATCCACCAGTTTACAGCTGGTGAATATCACAAAGAAGAAGGAGAAATTATTTAAAATACGTTATTATATATGCTTGCTGTTTAGCACATTCTTCTTTTTCTTCTTTTTCTTCTTCTTCTTCTTCTTCTTCTTCTTCTTCTTCTTCTTCTTCTTCTTCTTCTTCTTCTTCTTCTTCTTCTTCTTCTTTTTCTTCTGTTTCTTCTTCTTCTTCTTCTCCTTCTCCTTCTTCTTCTTCTTCTTCTTCTTCTTCTTCTTCTTCTTCTTCTTCTTCTTCTTCTTCTTCTTCTTCTTCTTCTTCTTCTTCTTCTTCTTCTTCTTCTTCTTCTTATTATTATTATTATTATTATTATTATTATTATTATTATTATTATTAATGACATTTTGGAACCAATATATAAAAAGCTGGAATGTCGTCTGTCAGAAATACGTTTAGCAATATAAGTAATAATAGTCACACGATCTCGTAGCCTTTGGAAACAATAAAATAAAGAGCCATTTTCGTGTTGTAAGAGCCTTGGCGTATGGCGTTAGACATATATTTATGGACTAACCGGCATTCTCTGTGTGAAATCGACATCGTGCAAGCCACTTTTACTGCCCATGACATTTCCTGATATCCGTAGATATCAGATAGATCTACACAAGAACCCTAACTGAATTATAAACTATTATCGATGGGGATTCGATCCTTAATTAAACATTCAGACCTACAGACAGGTGTTAGATGTTGCGCCAGCACCGTTCTCAGTTTTGTCAAGGTATTGAACATTTTAATGTGATTAGTAATTATTTTGTTTTAAAGGGAGCAGACACCGGTCAAGGTAAAGATTATATTATAGAAGTCATTAACTAGTAATATGTGAAAACCCGTTATTTTTAAACATGGACGTCAAGCAAAGAAGCTCAACCACTTCCACACAGTCTGTCTGGGATTAAAAAAAATAATACTGAAAAGAAGTGGCAAGACAAGGTCCTGGAGACTGTTGCACTGGATAGAGCTGGCATTCTCAAAAAAGAACGATATTTATTGAGGGTCACAAATTGGGCACGCAGGCCTGTATTACATTCAGCCCTTCATTACACATCTCCAATAGCGGATGTATCCTCAAAGCATGGCATGTTCATGTAACAATACTAATACAATGAGCTGGAGGAAATACAGCCATACACCAATCAATACATTGTGGAATATATTGTCCTCATTATTTACTTCCATAACTGAGAAACACTGTTTTAAATTACTCTCTCTTTGTACACTGAAACAATCAATGAGAAACTTCCTCACCTGAAACACTCGTACATGGTAACACAAAATGTCGGCCGGCGTTAAGTGCTCTCGCGCAAACTCTTGTCCATTCCTGGCGATTTCTTTGACCTGGATGGCAGAGCCAATGAGAAAGTCAGTCATTGAAGCTTATGACAAACCAAGCTACTATTAAACTTTAGGCTAAACATGTTATTCCGTTCTTAATTAATAAATTGTTTTTTTTTATGTATTTATTTCAATGGCAAACTACTCGACGTAAATTTGCCTAGACAATCCACAACAGCCAGAAAGTGCTAGCGTTGGTTCTGCAACGTCATGTAAAGGATACGTAACTAATTTTTTTTTTTTCAAATTAATTTACACACAATTTAAATGTATTCGTTTCAAAGTCAGCTCATTTTATTGTATTTTTTCTGTTTGTCGTAGTTTTTCAGCATAAGTAGCTTTTTTGTTGGAAACTGTAATTGGTTCAGTAAAATTGGCAAACACTTTTAAGCCTTTTCAACATGTTTAAATGTCATTCTTAGAAAGTTAGAGGTCGATATAAGGTAACAGGTATTTTATGACAATTCTTTACGACATAATTTCACAATATCTGTAGCACGATATATATATATATATATGGGAGCCGCCAGGTTTTAGCGGCTACACGCTAGCCTGCGGATCGGAAGGTCGTGGGTTCGTTTCCTGACGAGGGCCGGATTTTTTCCCCCAGAAATAACCTTGTCTCCCAGGTCGACCCAGCTTTAAGTGAGTGCTAGGTACATTCCTTGGAAGTAAAGGCGGTCGTGTGATGCTGACCACATCACCCACCAAGTGCCGTTTGGTCTAAAAAATATTGTTCTAGCCCTATATACCCAATACGCCTGAAAGGCAAGGAAAGGAATCATTTACTTTACTTATATGTTTATATCAACACAAACAAAATCAATACGAACCGTCTCATCATTTTCCCTGGCCCACTGAATCTTTTTCAACAAATCACTGAGATCTTGTTTTACCGGCACATAATGCACATGGGGTTTCAATCGAGAGTAGAAGTGCTCGTAGTACTCTGATTCCTGCTTGAAAACAACTGAGTCCCCCACCAGCAGGTACGGGAGTCTATAGGCTGCCACTGTGCCATCGATGTTCAGCTGGTACTTGTACTGTAGGATATAGGCATGTCAAGTTATTAGCTCAGGTACTTGTACTGTAGAACATGGTCATGTCAAGTTGTTAGCTCAGGTAATTGTACTGTAGAACATGGTCATGTCAAGTTGTTAGCTCAGGTAATTGTACTGTAGAACATGGTCATGTCAAGTTGTTAGCTCAGGTAATTGTACTGTAGAACATGGTCATATCAAGTTGTTAGCTCATGTAATTGTACTGTAGAACATGGTCATGTCAAGTTGTTAGCTCAGGTAATTGTACTGTAGAACATGGTCATATCAAGTTGTTAGCTCATGTAATTGTACTGTAGAACATGGTCATGTCAAGTTATTAGCTCAGGTAATTGTACTGTAGAACATGGTCATGTCAAGTTGTTAGCTCATGTAATTGTACTGTAGAACATGGTCATGTCAAGTTGTTAGCTCAGGTAATTGTACTGTAGAACATGGTCATATCAAGTTGTTAGCTCAGGTAATTGTACTGTAGAACATGGTCATGTCAAGTTGTTAGCTCAGGTAATTGTACTGTTGAACATGGTCATGTCAAGTTATTAGCTCAGGTACTTGTACTGTAGAATATGGTCATGTCAAGTTGTTAGCTCAGGTAATTGTACTGTAGAACATGGTCATGTCAAGTTGTTAGCTCATGTAATTGTACTGTAGATCATGGTCATGTCAAGTTGTTAGCTCAGGTAATTGTACTGTAGATCATGGTCATGTCAAGTTATTAGCTCAGGTAATTGTACTGTAGAACATGGTCATGTCAAGTTGTTAGCTCAGGTAATTGTACTGTAGATCATGGTCATGTCAAGTTGTTAGCTCAGGTAATTGTACTGTAGATCATGGTCATGTCAAGTTGTTAGCTCAGGTAATTGTACTGTAGAACATGGTCATGTCAAGTTGTTAGCTCAGGTACTTGTACTGTAGAACATGGTCATGTCAAGTTGTTAGCTCAGGTAATTGTACTGTAGAACATGGTCATGTCAAGTTGTTAGCTCAGGTAATTGTACTGTAGAACATGGTCATGTCAAATTGTTAGCTCAGGTAATTGTACTGTAGAACATGGTCATGTCAAGTTGTTAGCTCAAGTACTTGTACTGTAGAACATGGTCATGTCAAGTTATTAGCTCAGATAATTGTACTGTAGAACATGGTCATGTCAAGTTGTTAGCTCAGGTAATTGTACTGTTGAACATGGTCATGTCAAGTTATTAGCTCAGGTACTTGTACTGTAGAATATATCTTGTCAATTTGTTAGCTCATGTACTTGTACTGTAGAACATATATCAAGTTGACAGCTCAGATACTTGTACTGAAGAAAACATCATGTCAAAGTGTTAGCTCGGGCACTTGAAATGTAGAACATGTCATGTCAATTTGTTAGTTCCGATACTTGTGCTGCATAGCATGTCATAATAAGTTAGCTCGAGTACTTGTGTGAAAGTTCGTGAAGTTTAGTGCATTGTTTTATCTCCGAGTCCTAATTTACTGTGTAAAAGCGATTATTTTAAATGAAAGAATTAACTTATGAATCTCGCAGCTGTATGCTATCATCCACAAGAAAGTCAGACCCTTTTCAAATAACATTTGGTTAAAAGCAAGGCGATGCTCTGTCCCCACTTCTTTTCAACGTGGCCCTGGAGAAAATTTGAAGGAAATTGAAACAAAAGTGACCTATAGGAGAATCTACAAGAATGCTTGGATATGCAGATGACATTGATATTGTTGGAGAAAATGAACTAGACACAGTAAAAAACGCTGACTTTCTTTAAAAGAAGCAGCTCAGAATATATAACTAGTTATCAATCAAGATAAGGCAGAATACGTGATTATAACTAGACAGGGTAAGGATATAAATTCCGGCCACATACAAGGCGATAATACGAAAATCAAACTAACGAAAATATATAAGTATTTGGGTGCAAACTTCAACTGCTCCAACATGCCGAGAGAAGAAATACAATCTAAAATAAAGTTCTGGAAATAAAGTATACCATTCCCTTCAACATCTCTACTAAAGTCAAAGTGTCTGTCTCAGAACATCAAGATCAAAATATATAAAACGTTGATAAGAATAATCGTTTTAAATGGCTCTGAAACTTGGAGCGCAACTAAAAGAGCTGACGCTTCATTACAGGTTTTCGAAAACAGTCTTACGGCGAATCTTTGGACCCATCAAAGATGCAAACAGCGGGGAATGGAGAGTGAGAAGCAACAACAAAATTCTTAATCTGTTTAAATCACCACTGATCAGTGGCATCATGAGGGCTAACAGACTGAAAAAGCTTAGACATATTGAAAGAATGTCAGATGACAGAAAAGTTAAAACTGTATACACATGGAAGATGAAAGATCGTAGACCACTAGGCAGATCAAGAAGACGATAAAAGATAATATCCAGACAGACCTGCAAACATTTGGTGTCACCAACTGGAAAGAGAAGGCCAACCAGACATATGAATGGAGGCGGGTGATATCTGCAGCAGTGAACCCCAAGGGTTCAGAATGCTAAAGAAGTATAAAATGTTTAGTTTCTTAATGTTTAGTTTACACCTTCCTCTACGTATTTTCTCATACGCCAATAATTTTTTTTTTTTAGTTTCATTTCTGCACTTGTCAACTGTTTAGTATTTTATTGTCCCCGCCCCCCGCATCCCCATGATAAAGACTGGTCGAAACCATCAGCTGTATTTGTCCGCGACTTCACCTTACTCTTTGTTGAGCTTTCCAATCGAAATATGTGTTGTGTTTAGTTTACTTCCGATTTATCTCGATAAATAAAAGTTTGCCTTTCTCACTCACACACACACACACACACACACACACACACACACACACAGCACCCACACCACAAACCACACACACACACACAACTCACACACACTCAACACACACACACACACACACCCACACACACTCACACACACACACACGCACACACGCACGCACCCACACACGCACACACACACGCACCCACGCACGCACGCACGCTCGCGCCCGCACCCACACCCACACACACACACACGCACACACGCACGCACGCACGCACACACACACACTCACACACACACACACTCACGCTTGTTTACAACACACCTCATGACCTCACCTTGAAAAAGTCGAAAAATGAGATCTGAGGCGCCAGCTGTCCGTACTTGGTTTCATTTTTAGGAAAGAAGAACATTCTTGTGAGTTTTGCGTCGATGAGCTGAGGGTGTTTCAGGGCCATCTCTACCAACTGTAACCGCTCCTTCCTACTATCTCGACCCCTCCAGAAGGCAATGTCAGATTTGTTTTCCCACTTTGGGCCGGTGTTAGCTTGTGTGGAGAATATGTCCAAGGTGATTCTGTGTGAAGATTAAACCCAGCATTTGCTTCAAACTTCATTTTTTTTTAAAATTATTTCAGTGCTGTTTTCCGCAATGAAGGTTGGCTATAGTGTACCCAGTGTACCACTAATGTGCTGACCTAAATAGGGGGTGACTGCAGTCGAGCTGACTGCAAACAATGCTAATTATAACACAAAATATGAACTAGAAAGCTCAACGGAGGGAATGCAAAAGACGCACACAATTCGAACGTTTCGACCAACAGAGTACTAACTAACTACAGCACAAACTGTGACTACAATGCTCAAAGGACAAGACAACAACAGAGCTATATATACTAAGCAATGTTTACCCGTTGTAAATTTGAACAAAGAAGACAAACAATAGACTGCACAATTTATTGGCTGTCATATTTCACTGTATTTCGTCAGGTGCATACTACAGTAACTATTCACTTATTGTTAACTTATAAAAGCAATACCAATATACCATCTCATTTGAGTTTTTTAGCATTTCTTACAGCATACCTCTATTGTCTTTTAAATTATTATTGTGAAGCCCCAATCTTTTCTACGGTGAGATTTTCGTACCACTGTCCGAAAACTACAAGAATGCAGGGCTGGAACGCTTGTAAATTTAAAAAACAAAAACAGGATATTGCCTTACCATAGGTATTTATTCAAGATTTGGCATATTATTAAGAAAACCACTGTAAATGAAACAGCCACTGTTATGGTTCATGCATGGCTACTAGATCTGGCACATCATGCTGGTGATTTTGTTCTTGATGGTTTATATACTGGCAGTAAATGTCTTTGAACTGACATTATACTGTAAAATACTAAAGAAATCTTGTACGTGAGAGACCCTTTCACGCTTGAAGTACATCGGGCTTATGTCGGGTCTGCCCAGAGAAAATAATGAGGTTCAATTTCAATCAATCTTTATCGTGCCTAGAGGCACATAAGGCAGAGACCACGGCCAGCTTCAGATATATCCGGAGCTGGCCGTGGGCAGAGACAAACTGTCGCCACTCGATTCGATCCTGGGCCATCCTGTCTATCTCCAGTTTTGTCCTTCGCGAAGCCTTGAGTTCTACCTCAAAGCTTCGTCTCCAAATGCCTCTGGCCTGCCTCTTCTTCGCTGTCCGTTTGGTGCCCATTGCATTACCTGTCTCAGCCGTCTCTCTTTCTGCATTCTGAAGATGTATCTAACCCACCTCTACTCTTCGTTTTTTATTTCCACATTTACGTCTTCTATGTCTGTCATTTGTCGTAATCCAGAATTTCTGATTTTATCCACTATGTGAACCCCAACAATCTTCTGAGAAGTCTTACATGCTCTGTATCTTTCTGTCTCGGTTTTCTAGTTTCTGCTCCATAGAGAACTGTCCTAACGCATGTTTTGTATATCATGTGGTTACTTTTAGTGCTGTAGATATTTGATCTCCAGACACTCTGAAGTCGGTTGTAAGCAGCAAACTTAAAAAAAAAAATAAAAGCCCCAATTGCTTTAACAGGATGTTCGACAAATAAAAAACATGCAATGTTTTGGACGGAATATGTTCTTTATCTAAAATTAATTGCACGTGTTATATTAATTAGATTTATAACGGTAAATGTAATAACGATTCATGAAAACCAAACTGTCTTTTGCTTTTCGTTTTACACGTCGTTTAAAAATATTTGGTGTTTTATTAATATCCTACCCCAAACAGGGGAAATCCACAGGTCACGGGACAGTCTAATATTTCAGAGGGTAGTAGATAGGCTCTATGCAGCCGTGGGACGTAGGCTGCATGCAGTCGTGGGACCTAGGCTGCACTCTTTCATGGGACTTAGGTGGGTTGGGGGTTAGGGCCAGTTCTAGATGTTTTGGGGCCGTTAAAAGCATCAGAAAGCCGGACAACCCAATCTTACCACCTTCTAAAATGTTGGACTGTCTTGTGACGTCATCTGGGGTAGAATATTAATAAAGAACCAAATATTATATTTATAATTATGCTTGAAAAGAAATATATTCGTACAGCAGATAGACAAATGAAAATGCGTTGAGTTTCAAAATTCCTTAATGCCCCCTTGAAACTTCCTTGCATCCCCTAGAGAGCTCGTCCATCTGGCTGAAAACCACCATAGAGCGCAATAGATTACCACGATCGTAAATGGTTTGTTTATTTTACATGCCAATGTCTTCTTCGACCCGGCGCTAAAAGCAGGAGTTTTATTTGTATAAACATGTGCGCCTACAAATATAAAAGCCTGGAAAATGCTATGCTTTTGTGGGCTTCTCTGGACAAGTCTCTGCTGAATAATATATTTTATAGATTTCAAAACCGGTTTAAATATGCCGTCTTTGTGTTTGTGAGAGTGTTAGAAACCTGGATCAATAACAAACCACCAAAGGTTTCTCACATCTCACATATAACTGAACTAGTCGTCTCCTTGTGGAATGCAATTTTTCATTATTTTGAAGCCCTACCCTGGCTCTTGCCAGGGGCCGCAATATAGTCCGGCCATAAATATGGTCTAATGGTTGAACGCGGTTTCCTGGACCTCTCCAAGGGTGATCCTCATCCATATGGTGGCACTTTGTGTCATCGGGTGTTTATCGCCTGTGTGATGTCCTAGCGGGGTAAAATGTACTACTACTACTACTACTACTACTACTACTACTACTACTACTACTACTACTACTACTACTACTATTATTACTACTATACTACTACTACTACTACTACTACTACTACTACTACTACTACTACTACTACTACTACTACTACTATTAATACTACTACTACTACTATTACTACTACTGCTGCTGCTGCTACTACTACTACTGCTGCTGCTGCTGTTGCTGCTGCTGCTGCTGCTGCTACTACTACTGCTTCTACTACTACTACTACTACTACTACTACTACTACTACTACTACTACTACTACTACTGCTGCTGCTGCTGCTGCTACTACTACTACTACTACTACTTCTACTACTACTACTACTTCTACTACTACTACTGCTGCTGCTGCTGCTACTACTACTACTACTACTACTACTACTACTACTACGGCTGCTGCTGCTACTACTACTACTACTACTACTACTACTACTACTACTACTGCTGCTGCTGCTACTACTACTACTACTAATTCTCACATCATGTGCACGACTAAAGTAAAGACGTAGAAAAGTTTAATTACATCAAACAAAAGTAGAAGACGCTAAACGAAACAGGAAAACCCACTACCTTTGTCAATGTAAAATTCACTGCAGTGACCACGTGTTACTAGTGGACAGAAGTGAAGCCAAGAACAGCAGTATCATAACCTACCAAACGTGTCGTAAGAGGTTTGGCCGTTGCAGACGACAAATGTCTAGAAAGGATACTGTGGTGTTTCTCGAAAATGGACCTCGCCAGCCAAATCCTGTAGACTAGTTTGGTAGTTTGCCCCTCTAGAAATGCACTCTGCCTGATTAACACCTCAAGAATGAGAATCACCCAGGTAGAAATCCCGGAAAAGCCATGCAACAGTAAAGCAGTTATACGGAGGCCCCGACGATTACTAATAACCAGAGCCCCAGATCAGGCTGGGATAGGGTAGAATCTCTTAACGTCCCTAGAAATTAACTGTGGAATGACGCGATTCCTCAACTTGCAAACAAGTGTAGGGTCTCCGTTGCGATAAAAACCACACATTTTACATGCTTCGAGACTGAAACAATCAGATAAAATTCGTACGAGAATTATCGACTTTCTTAAACTCACGCATGAAGATCTCAGGCGCATGATTGATGTGTACTCTATGGACATCAGGAGACAATCAAAGGCACTAAAGGAGAGTGACAGACCAAACAAAAAAAGTGGGATGTAGAGGGGCACAGATAAATATAGGGGGGGGGGGAGGGGTGTGTGTGTTGGGTCGTAGACGTAGATATCACATCATAGCCACAACTAGGTCGACCCAGCCTTAAGCGGGAAACAGGTGATATATATACACACATATAAGATCTTCGTCTTCTTCTCCTTCTCACTCTAAAAAATGCGGTTTGAACTTTCGGTTGTGAATTTCAGCTAGCCTGCCATTTCTGCGCCTTTCGGCTCAACACATTTGGTAGGAGTGGCAGTGAATCTATTCTTTCCACCTCGCCGAAAAGCGGGTTCATATGTCAGTAATGATACTACCAGGATTATTCACTAACAAAAATGTAACACTACGTTTAATTACTGTCACCTAAAGTCCTACAATACCTATACTAAATGGTTATAAACAATAGTTTCACAATTCCAGTATCTTTGGGTTCGATTCACCGGCAAGTGATTCGAAAGCAACCATTGTGCTTATTTCAACAACAGTATGAGCGTCCACTGTTTATTACAGTCACAAACTACTGAAAGTCCACTCTGTCCAGTAAAACCTCACACATTTTCGTTTGGTCTGGGACATCCTGTAATGCCAGTATGTCAAACTGGCGGCCCGCGGGCCGCATGCAACCCTTTGCAAGCACACATGCGGCCTGCACAAAGGAAATATTATCCAATAATTTTTATTAAATGACTTCAGTTAATTGCCATGTGTGGCCCTAATGACGACACAAATATGACCCACATTGCGCTCGGAGGACACCCAGCTGGACCTGCCTACTATAAAGGATATGCAACCGACGGTACTTTTGAGGCCACAACAAAAACGAGACGAAACACTTGCCGATCACCTGAATGTAGTCTAACATGAAAAGTCACATATATTTATTTAAAGTCACTGACATTATTCTTTATGAAACGTTCTCTTCTTGCTTGCGTTCGATTTCGTATGCTCATACGAGACCATCATGTGGGGTTTCCTCTATGAACTCGCATGTCAGTAGCAGGTTCTTCATGGTTCCCCATAGCTTGCTCTCCATACTTTGCTCTTGAGGTCAGATGTCTTTTCGAAGTTGTAGGCAGAGTAGGCAGGTCTGCAGAATGTGCTTATGTGTTTATGATCCTGTTTGACAGACACATTGTGGGGACTTTACAATCTTTATTTTATGCATGTGGTAGTTGAGCCTGCAGTGTCTTGTTCGTAGACGGAAAATTGTTGCATGTTGTTTTCTGTGAGTCTGCTAATTAGGTCTTGTGGAGGTTAACGTTTAGTTTGTTCTCTCCACAGTTCCCCGTATTTTCCATTGACGAGTGTTCTGATTTCTGGTAATGTTTCTCGTATGAAACAACTCGAATTAATATGTTTAGCCTGTTAATAATTTTGGTTTGGCTGCACTAACAAACTAAACTGGCAAGTTTGCAGATCCGGACTCCCAGCGCAGCAGATAATGGTAATTTTTGGCTTATGGTTAGGTGGCGGTGAGACGAGAAACATATAGTCCTGACTTGGCATTGCAGGACCGTACAGAGTTCTAGTGCAACGTGGGTTCAGTAGATTCAATCGAGAGATGGAGTGGCTCACTGGTTTCGTGTAACGGGAGTACGTTCAGTAGATAGATTATCTTAGATCTAGATTTCCATTGTGGATCCTCGCTCGCAGATTTGTGATTGCAGGTCGCTGGAAGCTAACTCTTATATTTGTTAGCTGAATTGATTAGCACATGGTCTGTTCGAACACGTTGTTGATCGTTAATATGCGAAGCAAGTTACTTTTATGTTCAGGAAAATAATTATATGCTGAATGTGATGATTATATTCCATTTGTTTGATTCAGAATAGGGCTTGTAGTCTGTACACGTCTAGGTACTGCGTATGTAATTATATTCTGTAGCTGTTGTTTTGTAATTTACTATTCCTATATTCATCGCCTGAGTCATGAGTAATATGTCATGGTTCTTGCACCAGAAGGACCCTTGTCGTTTCTGTACTTTTCCTGTGTTACCGGGGAACTACTTTATTGTCCCAGCCTCATTTCTTTTATAGTCCCCCCCCTACTTGTGTGTTTTTTTTTTTTTTTTTCGCTTTCCGATAGCTCATTTACGACACTAATAAAAATAAACTTTTCACCAAAAGAATAATAATTGAATCTATAAGTCAAGTCTTTCCAAAATCGTCGCGAAAAATTAGTATTTCAGCTGCAGTGTTAAGATGTGTCGCGCACTGGTGTGTCCGGATCTGTTATAAAGTGTGGTAGTTTAACCTCTGATTTGCAGGTACTGTATTACTGTCTCGCGAAATTATGTTTGTCTTAACAGTGTGTCACCAATAAAAAAAAAAAAGTATAGAAAGATCTGCTATAATCTAACAAATAAATGCAATACCTAGTTTCCTCAACTCTTATAGCATCTTTTAACTCTTTTGGTACCAGCCAGTAATTAACAGTACAACATAAGACGTTCTAACCCAATCAGTCTGTAATAATTATGGTATAGTTTTAGTTTCGACGTCGGCTCTGTGGCTTAGTCGATGCGAACGCTTCGTAATACCGGGATGCCGGGTTTGATCCCAGCTGCAGGCCATGGTTTCGACAGTGGTATCAAGCAAGCCGACTGTCCAGAAAGAAATGGCAAACTACTGGGCGTAAATTTTCCTATAAAAACCATACAACAGCCAGGGGCTGTTAGGGTTGGTTCTGCAACGTCCTGTAAAGGATACGCAACTAACCAATAGTTGCGCCAAATTCAATGGCCTTAAACGGTTTGTTGCGTCAGCAGTCTTTGTAAATCCTGTAGTCTTAGTTGTGTGTGTGTGTGTGTGTGTGTGGGTGGGTGGGCGGGCGGGCGGGCGTGCGTGCGTGCGTGCGTGCGTGCGTGCGTGTGTGTGTGTGTGTGTGTGGAGGGAGCCGGTGGGGTGGCGGGTTGGGGGTCAAGGAGGGGAGAGAAGAGGTTCCGATTTGCGTGTCTATCTTCTTGAGTGTGCTTCTGGTGTCTTGGATATGACCTGAAGATGTTACATTAAAAACACAGTCTGGGACAGAAGGAGTCCAAAGACATTTCAGGCACAGAGAGTTGACGTAGCAGCTGTCTGTGTTAGAAAAGAGTTTTTAAAAGATTATTTGAACCAACAATGAATTAACACTGCTGTGTGATACATCTCTTGTGAGGGGTCTATAGCTTCACATATGTGTGTGTGTGTGTATGTGTGTGTGTGTGAAGAAAAAAGGGGGGGGGGGGGCAGGGGACGGGGGCAGAGCAAACGGTTTCCCTACAGGCATGTCGTAAAAGTAAACCAGTTGAGGGTATGTATTTCTTTAAAGTCGAAGTGCATTTGCCTGAGGGGCGAAGAACCAACAGTCTGGCTGCCTTATGCATTCTTTTTGCATGTGAAAGCTTCAAGATTTTTGCGGAAACTGATATGTTCATCACTAGTTTTTCAAATGATACAGGAAAGGGCATTGTGTGGGAGTTTCAGTAACACATGAAGGGAGAATTTGTAGGGTGATTCATCTGCAGTGAAACTTGAACTCTGATTATCGAGTAAATAATTTAGACTAACAAATAAACGTAGAGCCAGTTGTGTGTTACAGAATGAGGTGAGACAAAACTGTATGAAAGAAATACTTTACCTGCCCATCATTTGAAGTGTCGCTTCTGTGATGTCGTATGTAGGCAGAACGATGTCAAAAGCATTCTTAGATCCACACCAAGACAACACAGGGATCGGCCTCTCTGCATCCGCTTTGTTTTCCAGGGGCCAGTCGCCCAAGTTCATGAAGAACTCAAAGTCCGGTAGAAGCATCTGTGAAACAAAGGGTGGCTACACAAAATACAGAATAATGACAGTTGCATCTTTGTGTAATCTAGTTTATATCTGGGCATTTTCTGGGTTACATGGATTTATCTGGAAAGGGCATCATCATCATCATCATCATCATCTTATCATCATCATCCATCATCATCAACATCATCATCAACATCATCATCACCATAATCATCATTATGTGCTCTGCTCATAAACATAGATTGCTAGAGATATTGGTGTACCTAATTTTTCTTTTCGAACAATCAGAGTAGCCTGCCTTATAACGGAATTGTAACTAACAGTGGCATCGTGAGCTATGAGATTGAACATGTCTTTAGGATGTGTAAGTTTGTTCTTTATATCCACACCATTTAGCATGTAGTAGTCTTGGGCAAATATGTCGGCGTGTAAACGCCCCATCATATGGGTTACTTGACTGGCACCTGCTAAATGTCGTCGTACTTTTAGTCATTTATTTCCAACATATTGGATCGGGTCATTGCTGCATCCATATGGTCGAGAAATCCACATATTTATCTATTATTCTTTTCTCAGGTCCCTTACCCCCCCCCCCCCCCCCCCCCCCCCCCCCCCCCACGCCACAATTTTCTTATAATATTTGTCATGTAGCGCCGGCCAGGGTGTCTTTGTACAGGTTATGACCTTTGCAATCAAAATTTGTTTGATGTGGATGTTTCACCATGCCTTGATGCCAACATTTTAAAACTTATTTTCTTTTGGTCTCCAGTTTCCACTCTTTCTCTTCGACCGTGTTGAGATCACGACATACTTCTTTATTCCCCTTCTCACGACGTAATTCTATATTCCCCTTCTCACGACGTAGTTCTATATTCCCTTTTTTACAACGTAGTTCTACATTACTCTTCTCACGACGTACTTCTATATTCATCTTCTCACGACGTAGTTCTATATTCCTCTTCTCACGACGTACTTCTATACTCCTCTACTCACGACGTAGTTCTATATTCCCCTTCTCACGACGTGGTTCTATATTCCCCTTTTTACAACGTAGTTCTACAATACCCTTTTCACGGCGTAGTTCTATATTCCCCTTCTCACGGCGTAGTTCTATATTCCCCTTCTCACGACGTAGTTCTATATTCCCCTTCTCACGACGTAGTTCTATATTCCCTTTTTTACAACGTAGTTCTACATTACTCTTCTCACGACGTACTTCTATATTCACCTTCTCACGACGTAGTTCTATATTTCCCTTCTCACGACGTACTTCTATATTCCTCTACTCACGACGTATTCTTCTATATTCCCCTTCTCACGACGTACTTCTATATTCCCCTTTTTACAACGTAGTTCTACATTACCCTTCTCACGACGTACTTCTATATTCACCTTCTCACGACGTACTTCTATATTTCCCTTCTCACGACGTACTTCTATATTCCCTTTCTCACGACGTACTTCTATATTCCTCTACTCACGACGTAGTTCTATATTTCCCTTCTCACGACGTATTTCTATATTACCCTTCTCGAGAAGTACTTCTATATTTCCCTTCTCACGACGTACTTCGATATTGCTTTTCTCACGACGAACTTCTATGTTCCCCTTCTCACGAGTACTTCTATGTTCCCATTCTCACGACATACTTCTGTATTCCCCATCTCACGACGTACTTCTATATTCCCCATCTCACGACGTACTTCTATATTCCCCGTTTCACGACGTACTTATATATTTCCCCTTCTCACGACATACTATTATATTCCCCTTCTCACGACATACTTCTATATTCCCCATCTCACGGCGTACTTTTGTATATTCCCCTTCTCACGACGTACTTCTATATTCCCCTTCTCACGACGTACTTCTATATTCCCCTTCTCATGACATACTTCTATATTCCCCTTCTCACGACATACTTCTATATTTCTCTTCTCACCACATACTTCTATGTTCCCTTGTCACCACGTACTTCTATATTCCCCTTCTCACGACATACTTCTATATTTCTCTTCTCACCACATACTTCTATGTTCCCCTTGTCACCACGTACTTCTATATTCCCTTGGCAGTTGAAAATCGAAAAGAGTAGCCTAACGTTGCTGTCCGTGGAAAATTTGGAGTTAAAAATCTATTCAAAGTATTTTTGGATCCTTGACGGTGCTACGGAGTTCTTGCATTGCCCTAAGCAACTCCAGACTTAGCTTTGGGTTAGAAGTAGAACGGAGCACTTATGGGTTACTACCCGTGTGCCATGACGCTGATCCGTTGTTTCAAACTTCAAACTAATTATTGCAAAGACCGTTGACACCCACTCCAAATGTTTTCTTCGTTGCGAGTGCGTATAAGCTAGACTGTAAAAAACCCCACTATTTAAGTCCCTAATTTAGCTGGAAATTAAAACTACTAAACACTGTGTGTAAATGTGTTGAAGTAATTACCCTGTTGAACAGGAAAGGTTAAAGTAAGAACTAGGTTAGGGCAGGGTGTTGTGACTACTTATTTTCTTCTTCTGCTCTTTATCCCTCAACGGAGCATAGGCCCCCAACCAACTCGCCACAAGTAGTCGAATATTTTGCTATTGCATGCAGCTCTCTCCATGTCCCCTGCCACCAATCTCTTCAACCTCACCCTCTAGCTCTCTTCTCTGTCTATTCTTTGGTCTATCCTTATTTTTATGCCGGTGTGGCTTCTAGTGAAAAGCTCTTCTAGTTAAAATTGATCTCAGGTTTTCTCAGCGTGTGTCCTATTCAAAGCCAGTGTATTTTTTTCACCTCTTGATTCGATGGGATTTGTTTTGTTCTCTCCTAAAGCTCAACGTTAGTTCTTATATCATACCATTTAATTCCCTCTGTTCTGCGAATACACCAGTTAATGAATATTAGTAGTTTATCAGAAATAGTGTTAGTTGTTCTCCGTGTTTCCGCTCCACATAGCAGTACTCATTTCCCATTACAATTACCAGTTTTATGTTTATTATTTGTTTAAATTTTCCGTGGCTGCCAAATATTAGCTAGCGCTATAAAAATTTCTCTAGCCTTTTGTTTTCGTATTTTAATATCTCTGTCGGTTCCCACACATTCATCTACATTACTGTCAGGTACGTGTGTGCTGGAACTACATCGGCAATGCACTCAGAATGGATAAGAACAAATTCCCCTATCAAGCCCTCATATGGACACAGGGGAAAGAACGAAAGAAAAACTGCATAGAACCATCATCAGGAAAGGCTAAACTACAGGCCTAATAAACTTTAAAGACCTAAAACAGGTCGCAGCAAACCGCCAGACACGAAAAGCTATGAACTCCGCCTTATGCGCTGCCCTAGGCTCAAGAGAAAAGACTAAATAAGTGGGATATCACCTAGAGAAATTAGATTATCGTTTGTCTGGTTTATTTCGTTATCTTTGACTGTCTCCTTTTAGGGTGTTTTGACCTAATTCTTGTGGTCTGGCATCAATTTTGTTTAAGTGATCTTGCACCTGATTGCGTGGGTGAGGTAAATCTGAGTGGGACACACGCATGTAACGCTTTTAGAAACGCATATCGTGCAGGATTCCCGACGAACGGATGGTGAGTTGCTCAGTATTAAAGAGTTATAAGGATTTCTGACACTAAAAGTGGTGGTTTACAGGTAGGCTTAAACATACCAATAATTTCAAATCCTAATAAATCGGTGTCTTAGGGCATGCTGGTTTAGTGGCAGTGGGGCTATTGTGTACGCGGCCCCCCCCCCCTACCCCCACACTTTCCATGTGTGACCCTGGAACGCATACGGAAGGGAAAATTCAAAATAGGTCTTACCTTTCGAGCCAGAGACAGTAAAATTGCATCTGTAAACATGTTGAAACCGACATGTTCCCCGTAACACTTTCTGTAGACCTAAGTCAAAGAACAATTAAAATAAGTTAGCAATCGATAGTAATTAGCATAAAAAAGGAACTCTCAACAGTGAACTGTAAACCACACACACACACACACACATGCGCACACACAGAGTGAAAGATATATATATATATATATATATATATATATATATATATATATATATATATATATAGAGAGAGAGAGAGAGAGAGAGAGAGAGAGAGAACGAATCTACTAGTAAAAATAAAAATTGTTAAATACCTCGATATCACACTATATACCAGACAGCAACGACGACAAGTCTATCCCTAACTCAGGGAGGCGTCACAGCAGTCTTTAGGTATGAATACTTCCACAGTCAGTGGACTGTACTTTAAAAAAAAAAAAAACTGTTATCATTTGTATTCTTTTATGTAGTTGTGTCATTGTCCATGATACTGTGTCGTGATGAAGGCTGTATAACTTCTTCTTCTTCTTCCTCAGCGTTCCAAGCCCATAAGGTTCATTGCTGCAGATATCACCCGCCTAAACTCGTCATTCTGGTTGGCATTCTCTTTTTAATTGGTGCACCAAGTGTTTGCAAGTCTGTTTGGACATTATTTCTCCATTGTCTTCTTGGTCTGCCTCGTGGTCTACGACCATTCATCTTCCTTGTGTATACAATGTTTAATTCTCTGTCATTTAACATCCTCTCAAAATGCCCCAACCATTTCAGTCTATAAGATTTCATGATGCCAGTTATCAGTGGTGACTTAAACAGATTATGATTTTCATAGCTGCTTCTCACTCTCCATTGAAGCTGTCTAACGCACCGTTTATTTGTCATTTGTGATTGATCTTGATTGGGACGCTCAAGATGACCAGTTTCACTTTTCTTTCGGGTTAATTTTTTTCGTACCAAAAGAAGTGCATCTGGTGACGCAGGCAGTTAGTAACAGACTGTCACTTTTCAGCTATTCACCCTTCATCGTTTATGAGCTGGACTCTTGTTCAGACGGTATGAATACTGGCTTTTTACATAAAGCCTGCACAAAGTATGACATGAAAATAAACACTGTGAAAACTTAAGTGATGAGGATAGGCAGGAAACATCATATCATGAACGTTCATGTTAACTGTACTACAATCAAACAAGTACGAGAATTAGAATAATTAAAAACATTGTTACGGAGGATGGCAGACTCGATCGAGAGATATAAGCTATAGTATAGAAGGCAAATGCTGTCACCTACCAGTTAGCCCCACTGCTTAGACACCCAAACGTCTCCCTTCCAGTAAAACAGCAAATGATTAATATCATCTTTATCCCTACTTTATGTTATCAGTGCCAAACAATGACAATAAATAGGGCACTAGAACAGAAAATAACTACATGTGAAATGCACTGTCTAAGCAAGGTCACTAACTACACTAAGCGAGACAGGATTACGAATACCAGAATTAGAGAAAAAAGTCGGAATATGACCATGTCTAATTCTATTGACATACAAAGAAGGAAATGGTTCAACCATCTAGTGAGAATGCAGCCAAACTGGGATACAAACTGGTATCAGTGAGACGACAAAACTGGATACAACGATACAGCCTGGTATCACATGGGATGGACGACACAACCTGGTATCAGTGAGACGACAAAACCACTGGGATACAACCTGGTACAGTGAGGACAATACACAACACTGGTACAACCTGGTATCAGTGAGACGACACAAACCAAGACACTGGGATACAACCTGGCCTCAAAGACGACAAAACCAAGACACTGGGATACAAACTGGTATCAGTGAGACGACAAAACCACTACACTGGGATACAGCCTGGTATCAGTGAGACGACAAAACCACGACACTGGGATACAATCTGGTATCAGTGGACGACAAAACAACGACACTGGGATACAACCTGGTATCAGTGAGACGACAAAATCGAGACACTGGGATACAACCTGGTATCAGTGAGACGACAAAATCGAGACACTGGGATACAATCTGGTATCAGTGAGACGACAAAACAACGACACTGGGATACAACCTGGTATCAGTGAGACGACAAAATCGAGACACTGGGATACAATCTGGTATCAGTGAGACGACAAAACAACAACACTGGGATACAACCTGGCATCAGTGAGACGACAAAACCAAGACACTGGGATACAACCTGGCCTCAGTGAGACGACAAAACCAAGACACTGGGATACAACCTGGTATTAGTGAGACGACAAAACAACGATACTTGGATACAACCTGGTATCAGTGAGACGACAAAATCAAGGCACTGGGATACAACCTGGTATCAGTGAGACAACAAAACTACAACCTGGTATCAGTGAGACGACAAAACCACTACACTGGGATACAACCTGGTATCAGTGAGACGACAAACCACGACACTGGGATACAATCTGGTATCAGTGGACGACAAAACAACGACACTGGGATACAACCTAGTATCATTGAGACGACAAAACCACGACACTGGGATATAACCTAGTATCAGTGAGACGACAAAACCACGACACTGAGAAATAACCTTGTGTTAGTGAGACGACAAAACCACGACACTGGGATACAAACCGGTATCAGTGAGACGACAAAACCACGACACTGGGCTACAACCTGCTATCAGTGAGACGACAAAACCACGACACTTGGATACAACTGGTATCAGTGAGACGACAAAACTACGACACTGGGCCACAACCTGGTATCGGTGAGACGACAAAACCAAGGCACTGGGATACAACATGGCTTCAGTGAGACGACTAAAGAAGAAAAAAATGCAATGGTATGTAATAATGGCGCACTTTTTTTCTCCCCAGTATTAAAGCAAAAAAAAAAAAAAAAAACCTTTCTGGTAAGTAACGACATTTTTTAAAGAAACTTTGAGTACCGGAACCTCTTCGCTTTCTAGAAGAACAAAAAACCCTAGGTATGAGCATTCAAGAAAGTAACTCAAACACGACATGAGAGAGAAATGATGAAATCAAACAGAATACTGAGAAAAGTGCAGGTAAGGGGAAAAAAAACCAGACAAAATTATGGTGTAGCCATCGAACTAGTCTGTAAAAACAGTAAGCTAGCAGCAACCAGTAATAATGTATAGATCAGGTGCAAATCCAAAGAGAGACTCTGTACGTGTAAACTAAACAACGTACAGCTGAAATAAGAGATTCACCGAGAACACTTGATACGGAGCTCTTTCTTGCTATTCCACTCCGCCCCCCCCCCCTCCCCAACCTCTCTCTCTCTCTCTCTCTCTCTCTCTCTCTCTCTTTCACACACACACAAAACACACACACACACACACACACACACACACACACACACACTCACCCTACTGTTGTTTCTACCTCACTGTGACACAAGGCACAATAGAGTCCACAGGAACCCGCACAAACGAACCACTCAAACGGGTACCCTTCCTATTGTTTACAACATTTCTTTACCACAAGTTGCAAGCAAAACAGAAGGAGGAGGAGAATAGTAAGAGGAAGAAGAAGAAGAAGAAGAAGAAGGAGAAGAAGAAGAAGAAGAAGAAGAAGAAGAAGAAGAAGAAGAAGAAGAAGAAGAAGAAGAAGAAGAAGAAGAAGAAGAAGAAGAAGAAGAAGAAGAAGAGGAGGAGGAGGAGGAGAAGAAGAAGAGATTAGATTAGGTTAGATGAACATAAACACATTCACCTGATTGTTGACGATCTTGTAATGGCAGATACTTCGTCTGCCCTTGTGATGAAACTTCTCCACTGCCTCTGTGGCTACTTGGGTCATATTAATACTTTTGAAAGGGTCTAAATCATGTTCGATTTGTGTGTACGCCACTGGACAACCGACTGAAGCGGCCCACTCATCAGGGGTCTGCAGGGGACAGTTGCAAGCATCGTGGTAGATGTCGCCTGGGGACGATGACTATTTTATTTTATTTGTTGAAGAAGAAAAATAGAATATGGATCGACAGCAGCAAGAATAATTTTGGTGAAATAAACATCGACATGTACAGTTCTTTTTTTAGCACATAATATAACCATACATTTTCTTATCTCTACCCCTTCACCCTCCCTCCT